TCGGCAGCCTGCAGTCAAGGCATGAAAAATGGCACATCATCTTGCATACTCAACCTCTGACCAAGACGGTTTCTTATGAGTGCGCTCGTCAGCGGTTGGCTGCTCCCCACGCCGGCCGCACGCTTGTTCGATACCCAGAAAATCGAATTGGCGCATGGTATGAAGCAGACATCCGCACAAGCCGACGTTGCACGAAGCCTAGAATCCCATGCTGCCAGATAGCTGTCTGTCTCGTCTGAGCTGCGAACCTCATGCTAAGCAGCTAAGGTGAATCAGTTCCATGGCCAAACCCGACCTGCGCCGTGTGGGGGGCGGCAGAGGGACAGCGAATCGTCCGGCAGCGATGCGAGCGAGAGTCATTTTTGAGTCTGTTATTGGTGCATCTCCGGTACCAACCAGCAAGGGGTCGCTCAGGCACAGTCGCGTCTCCCCGCCATGCCCCCGGGCTTTCGTGGACGGGAAAAGAAACCGGCTGCAAGCCATCCCCTGAATCTCGAATGTGCGGTGTGAGATTTTCTGTTTGATTGAAAACGCCTGAACTGCAGCATCAGCCAATGACCTGCCATATTCCCGAGTGAATATCGGCCGTTGGCGGGATTCGTCCGAGGGCTCTGTCGGCCTAACGTCTTCCTTGCATTACGTGATGCAAGTAATGCCTCTGGAGAGACAGGAGGCTAGGCGCTGTCAGATGCCAGAAGGCATTGGCGACGCATTGGGGCGATCGAGAGTTTGATCGGTTCGTTGAAATCCAGCCATGGTTCTGGACTTGCCTTGTGGCAGGCTGCGAACAACTCAATTCGTCGAGACGATCTCGATGCATCTTGGAATGCGGGCGTGAGGCACTGATACCAAGCGGTTATCGGGAGCGCCCACTAGTCCGACAAACGCGGGGCAATCCTACATTATGCCAAACCCCTCTTGACATCAGGCATGGAGGGGTTATCTCGACTGACCTCACCAGCCATGCAATATCTGGCGAGACCTAGCGATGAAAGGTGCCCATCGCCGGCCAGAGGCACGGCCGATGGTGGGTAGGTCGGTCTCACCGTCCGAGCACCAGCCGGCGTCGAAATCCACGGAACCGTCCGCCCTTAGTGGGACGCTCGGAGCATGAGAAGTCTTGACCGCTTGTTCCGCGTTGAGTAGTGCTGCCCGGAGCTGAGAGCGAGGAAAAAGTTTCCTCAACGTCAGGCCTCTCTCCCATCGTCGCCCAATTTTGGGAGGGGTTGGAGGGGTCGTACGAGGGGCAATTCAAGGCAAGCAAACCGGATTAAACTTTTCATTGTATCGGATTGTCCAGCTGAAGAATGGGTTCTTTGAATAGCGCTCGCTTTTCCAAAACAATCCAGGAATGGATTTTCTGGGGCCTCTTCATATGCAACCTTGATAACGATGCGTTGGCTCCAGTCGCATCCCGGGCAGGCAGAGTTGACCGCCCAGGGAGGGGGGTACATGGCCAACGCATGCATTTGGGGGCGTTTCGCAAGTCACGCCACGAGGCTGCGTCCTCTGCGTTTTTCTTTCGCGATGCTTTCCCCATACGACTCGTGGTTCGAAGAAGTTCTTCGCGCCCATGTGGATTGATGATTGATAATGCACATTGATGGGAATCTTCAATTGGGACGTCGTTCCCCATCGTTGGAACTGGTTCCGGTTGGTAGGTTGAAGGAGACACTGGAGAGAGAGAAAGTGTGTTGGTCCGCTGGGTCCGGAGCGGTCACGATTGCATCATGAGCTGGTGGGTTGAGCATTTGTTTGGATGGGGCCGCGGGCCGCGCGCGGGTGTCATTGCTGTTTCATGAGGGTTAGTCTTGTGTGCAGCGCGATCTCCACGCGGAACGATGTGCGTGTTCCTGGCCATGGCCGGTGCGCTGGCTGTGGGTTACGGGATTTTGGGTCTCTTTTTTTTGTCCGTTTGATGAAGGTTGTTCCCTCGTGGTCGATAGCCTTACGGGCGTGCGGTGGTTCATGCCCGACGGAAGGTTTTGTGAGTCATATGGGGAGGGGAGCGGTTCGGGGTTCTGGGTGCTGGAGTTCGTGGGAGAGGATGGGGATGTTCCTTGTGAGATGTGAGGAACGTGAGAGAGAAATGTGCTTGTGAGTNGTAAGGGGGGGGGGTTGGGGTTTTTTTTTTTTTTTTTTTTTTTTGCTTTTGTGAGGTCTCGTTGCCTTGGCGTGAACTCGAGATTTTTGAGAGTTCGGCTCATGTCCGGTTTTTCATCGCATGGCTTCGATGAGATGAACGCGGTGTAGGTGAGGGATCGGATGATGGGTGAGGTGCGTGAACTTTACCTTGAGCATGGCAAGATGTTGCGTGACTGCGGCTGTGACGAACGTCCTCAAGTCGGGTCGATGGTATACTTCAGAGTTAGGTTTCTGAATGTCGGTCATGACCATCGCTGTCCTGTTTTATTTATGGATTCTGCTGGGTTTGGTCTGGAGCCTTTGTCTCAGAGCTCGCAATCCGTCGAGTCTCAAAACACCATCTCTGTTACTAGAAGAGACGTTCTTCGGCATATATACACCGGTGTCCCATCACACCGTTGGCACAATCTGCTGGTCTACTCATCAGTTTCTCCAAAACGGACAGCAATGTTTTCCTCATTCTTAGGGCAGAAGCGTTCTTCATGAGGCATAATGGACCTCACAGGGCAAATTTGCCTAGCGCTTTAATGATTGCGAAGCTCATTCTCTTCTGGTCCGTAAAGTTGGACGCACTTTCCAGCGGCCACACTCCATGCCTGCCTTAGATTGGAAGCTTTGTACATCTTGCCGGTGGCAGTGTAGCGCATTCGACGCCCATCGAGTTTCTTGCGCAAGATCCAACCGCCCCGGAAGTAGAATCGGAGTGGAACCGCAAGGCAAATATGACCGAGGCGAGTTGCGGGATCATCGTGGGAAATTTCGTCCAAGGTGAAGAGCAGCTTGCTTGCGGCTTGGCTCATGGAAGGCTTCAATCATTCATGTACAGCATGGAGGTAGTCATCTTATAACCACAAATAGAGCTTGGAGTTGTCGGCAGTGTCTCTCGGAGGGTCTCCTTCGAGACTCTTGGCGTGTAGTCTATCTCTGGGTCAGTCCTATCTCGATGGCCGACGAAATGCTGCGATTGCAGTATCAATACTTGGGTTAGCAACGTGACGGAACTGTTGTTCAATTACGAAAAGCACTCAAGCTGTTTTCTGGAATGGAGGGCCCTTCTGCCGGCGTGTCTGCCTTAGCTTTTGTATCTGTCCTGTCCATCTCCCATGTTACGTTTGACTGTACCCTCAACAATCACCAACTTCCCCAGAAACTCCGAGAGCTCTTCTCGAGGAAGGTCTTTTGGCCGCAGAGATACAAACGCACGTCACCCTCCTCATTCTCAAGAATTTTGGCTATCTGGGCAGTGCCCACCAGTGTCTTGCTGAGACCCCCTTTCTTTTCCGTGTGCTAAAGCGACCACGTCGCACCTTCATCATCGGCTTTCATCACCTGTGTCATCGTCGTCCGTCGTCGTTATTGTCATCGCCATCCATATAATCGAAGCGCTACGCGCGCCCGATCGAGGTATTCAGTGCGCTGCGATTGCCGCCATAGGTAACACTGCCCGGCTAGCAAAATTGTTCTCAAATACTGTGTTCGACACATTCTTAGTCAACTAGGAACACGGCTGGAAGAGGCCTCTGTGAATATGCTTTGGAACTAGTTATCTTCCCTATTCGATATTAAGCTTTCAAATGATTTGAGATGATAGAACCGTGAGTTTTGGACTCCATTATAGAGGATCTTGGCAGCCGCCGTACAAGTGCGGACGGAACTCGAATAGGGAGCAAAGCTGGCCGTCTGCACCTTGGACGAAGATGTCCACAGAGTTGAGCGCTGTCCCCCGTAAACCCTTCGTAGGTAGATATCGATGAAATACAAACTTTTGAGAAAGATGTTGTTCTGCAAAAGGTGCTAGAGCACACGTGTTTGCATTGAGCGCGCCCGGGACTATACCATCCCGCCACCTGCGGCGGTTAACGGTTCACTGCGAACATGGTGATATGTCGAATCTCATTATGACCATGGAGTATCCTCTGGAAATTCAGTAGTCTTACGTTGGAGGTAGGATTGACTGACGTTCCTCGTTGTTTACTCAAAGAGTGAAACCTTCTTAGCGATATCGCGAAGACCTGGCATTTGGGGCTTTCCTTCTCAAACCACGCGGCTATTTCGATGGTGGTTCAACTGACTTTGATGAACCGGAGTACATGCGCGGTTCAACACTCTGATTCATGTGTGTTGTTTGAAAACGCGTCTCCACGTTATTGCAACAGCTATCTGCAAAACGGACCGTATACATTTGGTGTATTTCACTAATGGAGGAGAATTGACACCCAATAAGACTCAACTCCTTAGTCTGGCCAAGACATCAAAACCCTCCATCATTGCCAAAAAGCATGGGTTAAGCAGTTACCAACTTAAGATTTCCAAGCCCAGACCGATTCCACAAGTACCCCGTGAACGCCAATCCATCTGCCGCTTCCACGGCGCTCAGGGAACCGTTCTTCTCGAAATGGCAATCATTTTCGCCAAAGACCTATTTTCATCTCGAAACAGTCATTTGAGTGCTAAATCTAAGAGGAGAACGGGATTCGGACGCTCATACGATCACACGAACCTACACCCTCGTTGTAAACATCGTGAGATGACGTCTTGGTGGTGACAGAAGCTCAGGCCGGTAGTGGACGACAGGGGTCTAGCTCCCAGCCTAAGCAGCCAATCAGATCGGACAAGACCCACTTAATCGAACTTCCTTTCACAAGCACCAGCACCGGCAGCAGCGAGTGATTGCGAGAGAGGGGCACGACCAAACCACCGTCTCATCGCCCGTAACGCCGCCTCACGATTCAACAACCAGACGGCGATATACGACACTACGGAATTTCCGCCGACGATGGACACAGCATCTATCTCCTAATTTTGCACAAAAAGCCTCAAAAAACCACACCCCCCGCATCCTCTCCCAGAGTGAGATGAGACCCCGCATCAAACCTCTCAAACGCCGTCCAAAAGTCACCTTCAAGCGCGCAGCAGCAGACATGGCCGCCGCATCCCAAACCCAACAGCCCCAGGACCGCCCGGAGAGCGACGTGGACGAGGAATTCATCGACTACGAAAGCGAGCCCGAGCCCTCGCCCGCCAGCCAGCACAACCCGGCCGTCCCAGCGCTCTTCACCACGCCGCCGCCCGTCCGCGACGCCCTCCCAACCGCCACCTCCAAACTCCAAGACGACACCCTTCGCCAGTGCCTGCCCTTCCTCGCCGCCGACCCGGGCAGCACCGCCGCCAACCCCGCCCGCAACGCGCACGGCGTGCCCGCCCTGCTGCGCGACAACCACGTCAAGTTCCTCGAGAAGCAGCTCGGCCGCTTCCCGGCGCCCTACGTCGCCGCCGACGCCAGCCGGCCGTGGTTCCTGTACTGGTCGCTCAACGCGCTCGCGCTGCTGGGGTATGACACGGCCGTCTACCGTGACGACCTGATCGCGACGGTGCGCACGATGCAGAACCTGCCCGGGGGCGGCTTCGGCGGCGGGCACGGGCAGAACTCGCACCTCGCGACGACCTACGCCGTCGTCCTCGCGCTGGCTATTGTCGGCGGCGAGGACGCGTACGAGGTCATCGACAGGAGGGCGATGTGGCGGTGGATCTGTTCGTTGAAGCAGCGGGATGGGGGCATTCAGATGACGTTGGGCGGCGAGGTGGACGTGAGGTGAGTTTCTGCTTTGCTCTCTCTTGATGCCGGACTATTCAAGCTTCTCGATGCTTTTGGTTGGCGTCCCTTGTCACACCTTGTTTTCTGACCACGCAAGGAGCCGTTCAGGGGAGCATACTGCGCAGCCGTCATAGTGACCCTCCTCAACCTCCCGCTCGAACTGTCTACCGACTCGCCGGCCTGGACGCCTGAGCGGCCCACGCTCTTCACCGGATTGGCGGATTATGTACGCAGATGTAAGTCATACCTTAGCCTGGTTGCCTCGTTCTCTTATATGCATGTGTGTATGTGTATGTGGATGTGTCTTGTTTGCTATGCTATGCTTTGCCTGCCTGCCTGCTGCAGCAGCAGGATGCTGCTTTTTGTCGCTCCATCGCTCACACCACCACCACTACTCTCAAGGCCAGACGTTCGAGGGAGGCATATCGGGAAAGCCGGATGGTGAAGCACACGGGGCCTACGCCTTTTGCGCGCTGGGCTGCCTCTCGATTCTCGATACTCCGCATCGCATCATTCCAAAGTACGTATCAACCCCCCAACCTCTCCTCCTCCTTCTCCGACGCCCGCATAGACGCGGCCAGATGTCCGGATCTTTGCATCCCCTCCCGTCCACTGAGAAAGTGACATGGAAGCGAAAGACAGGCAAGACAAAAAGACCGCTCACCTTGCATGAGACTTTGAAAAGTAATAATAAGAAACTGACCTTTTTGGTGTGTGCCTGCCCTGCCTGCCCCGGTAAAGGGGAGGGGGGCGCACGCACGCATGTTTCTGCTTGTGAAATAGATACCTTGACGTGCCACGACTCATCTCTTGGCTCTCGTCACGGCAGTATGCCCCGGAGGGTGGCTTCAGTGGGCGCACGAACAAGCTGGTTGATGGCTGCTACAGCCACTGGGTCGGTGGGTGCTGGCCGCTGATCGATGCCGTGCTCAAGGGCGCGAGCGAGCTCGAGGAGGAAGAGACAGCGGCGGCGGATCAGCAGCAGAAGCAGCAGCGGTCGCGGACCACCCCCGCGGAAGGCAGTCTGTACAGTCGTGAAGGGCTGATCCGATACATCCTGTGCTGCGGGCAGGACTGTAGCAAACGTGGCGGTCTTCGTGACAAGCCGAGCAAGTAGGCGACATCCTTCTCCCCCCCTTTCCTCCTCACCTGAACCGTAGTTGTTTGCCGTCGTTTAATTGCTGACGATGAAATGTGGCCAGGCCGTCGGACGCATATCACACCTGCTATGTGCTTTCTGGACTGAGCTCGGCCCAGCATCGGTGGGACCTCACATATGTCAATGAAGACGAGACGATTCTGCCAGAGCCCAAGTGGGTGGTGTCGCCTTGCGCCGAGGGAGCACAGATTTTCGACGAGGAGGACCGCGTCGGGACGATCCACCCCGTCTACACCATTCCTCAGGAGAGCGTCGACGACATGAAGGCGTATTTTGCGGCAAGGCAGGGATTCTAGAGGGGGGGAAGGACTTCGGACGCAGCAGGCGCCACCAGGCCGCCGGAGAGGCGACCGCCCTCCCCCTTCTGTATTATAAGTCAGGAGGATGCGTCGGAGCTTCTTTGTGTCACGTGGGTTGTTAGAGATGAATAGGGGGTCGGTTCCGTGGGCGGAGGTCCTCCGTTGGAATTATCTCCGTTGAAACGCGACGCGCCTACCGACGGCGGATTATTCAAAGGGGTGGGAATTGCGGAACGAACACGACGTGCCTGCAGCTTCGAAGGCCCGGCGTAAGAGATCTTGAACAGGGATCGTGCGCGGAGGATATGGACAACTCATCACGGCAATATAACGGCGCAGGCCACTCTGCACGGGTTGTACATGTCGAGTTCCAGACTGGGTCTCCGAAAGGGTCGAGGTGCATGGCAAACCCGTGCGCTATCTGCACCACGCGAATCGACATATGATGGCACGGGAAAGGAAGAGTCTGTTAATGGCAGGTAATACAACGCAAGCGACGATTTGTGGCCCTCCGAGGATGTTCTGCCAGATTCATTAGTAGGCACGTACTGTCAATGGGATGCCCACCTTTCCTCCCGTCCCGCATTCACCATATAACATCGCGATGGAAGAGGCTGTCTTCTCGGCGCCACTGCGTGGTGGCGGCAAATGCACATCATCTCCAGGCCGGGCCAATCTGGCATCGCGAGTTCCTGCAACACGCCACTCTGATGCCTTGACGTGCGGTTCTTGTGCGTGGCCGCCTACGCCTGTACTAGCTGACGGTTTGAGAACGACGTGGATGCTTGTCTTGGGGGGCGGCTGGCAAATTTGAGACACGAGGCAGACCAGCCCAGCCAGCCCTGGGACTCAGACAATACTCTCAGAGAACTAGAGCGGCAGGCTGAAGAGAGACATTTTCTGCGCGCATGGTGGATGATCCCGGTAGACTGACCTAACCCATGGCGTCCACGCAAGGCTCAATTGGCGCATCTCGCTTTACAGCAAATGTGCAGGGCCTAGGCGCAGATGTCTTTGCTGTCATACATGAACAAGATGCAGGTGGCCCCTCTTTTTTCTTACTCTTTTTTCTTATTCTCTCTGTGGCTCCGATATCAAAAAGACCCGGATGCCGTGTTGTGGCCGCAAAGCATGGCCGCTTTATGTCTCAGGGAGACATGATATTTCCCACTTATCGTTGAGGAGGAAGTACGCGTTGTCGGCTGATACATGTCGACGAAGCGACGTTTGGATTGGGTCCCGCCCGGGCGGACGTCGACGGCCAGCAGCATGGCGCTAGACGTTCGCTGCTCTCTCTCTCTCTCGGGCGTTGCGTGAAAGGGAAGACTGGTTCCATGCTAGACTAGACGATGGCGTGGCCATGGCTGCTGCGAGCAGAACGATAGAACGGCGGTCTGGTCTGCAGTGCAACGTACCAACGCGGGGTCCAGTCAGAGGAGCCAATCTCTCATTCTGTGCATCGCGTCTGGAGAAGCGTCCTCTCTCGGGACCGTCGAGGGTCCAATGGCAGATATCGAAGGAGCATGTTTGGGGCGGATGACGTTGAAAGAAGGCTAAGCATGTTTGTTTCTTTCTAGCGGGGTGTGGCAGAAGGTTGGCTCGGACAGGTCCCTGATGTCTCGCCCCTCACACCCCTTATCGCCAATAACCCTAGGAGGGAAGCTCTGCGGAGGGAGGGGGGTCGGGGCAGGTAGGGTGTAGACGGTACACAAGAAGGGACAGCAGCGCAATCATGGGCTTGTATTCCCGAGCCACCGGATCCCGCAGGCGGTGGTGACAACAACCCGACGGTGGGTATTGGAGTCGAACGAGATGGAGACTGTGCAACGGGCGTCGAGGGACAGAGGAACGGTGAGGCCCATGATGGGGAGTCACGAGCTCTTGGTGAGGCCTCAATGGGCCGTGGAGGGCCGGGGCATGATACGAGAAAGGACGAGAGTTGTGGGGGCTCGAGGTAGCGCTGGCAGTGTTGGCAGGGCTGCGGAAGAAAAGAGGCGCAAAAGACAGATGTCTCGGGAGAGGTTCCGGAAGCCGTGAGGGTATGCCCCAGGTCCATGTTCCTTGTCGGTGGTCCGGTTTGGTGATGGACGGCCGTGGTCCGGATGGGTCGTTTGATCACCGGATCTTGGATGACTGGGGGTAGCCCGATGCTTGATGAGCAGTAGAGTTTGGATCTGGTGTTGCTCTGTTGCGGTAATTGACGGCAGACATTTGCGTTGACGCCTATTTGTCGAGGTGATGGCAATGTGTCATGGAAAAAGAGAAGCTGATGTACGTAGCCGTGAAGGTCACGTCACTCTCAAACACCGCTGGGGTGGCTTTGCGCAGCAGCAGCAGCATGAGCAGGAGTCGGAAGGTAAGGCAACCTACCTAGGAACGGCACTCCATCAGTGAGGTCTCAGGTTGGGTGTAAGGTTGGGTGTAGCTGTCTGTCTACCTTGGGGCTGGGAAGCTGCGAGTGGGAGAGCTACTTAGTATGGATGAGGTCGGCGCCGATTTTGAGGGGTTGTGGGGACGGTGGGACGTCGGAGGGGCGGTCGATAGAGATGGAAGGGACCAGACAGGGTTCTGGAAGGTGCAATTGACGAATCAGAAGACAGTACGGCGTCTACAGCGGCGCTAGTAAAGCTGTGATGGCAACCTAGAGCTCAGAGGCAGGAGCTACCCAGGCAAAGTGGCAGGAACTGGGGGGATGCACCTGCGATGAGAGAAAAGATGGAAGTTGCACCTGCCAGAGCTGCCTCACCTCACCTCACCACATCAAGCAGGCGCCATGTCTCGTGGGTTCCTGATATCGAAGAGACACGAAGACTCGGAGCCGCTGGCGCCTTCTTCGAAGCTCAATATTGTCCTCCACTCCTTGATTCTGATTAAGGTATCCGTAGATCTTTGGCAGGAGGGCACGGGCGATTCGCTTCACGTTCCTTACCTAAAGCTAAAGGTACCTACCTGCCACCGTACTTTGGCGCCCCTCCTGCGAGGAGAGGTAGGTAAGGTACCTTAAGCACGACCTTCAAACGCTGCACCTGCACCGCAGCTGCCGCCTGTCAAGGCCACTCTGCCTCGGCGCCTCCTCGACCTCTGCTTGCCTCAACGGAATATTCAACTCAACTCATGCGGACAATGAGGAAGAGTTCGTCCGCGGCAATCGCAGATTCACATCAAAAGTACTGGTACAAGCACGTCGGCAAAGCGTAGGCGCCTCAGGTATGGATACCTCACCTAAGGTACCTTACCTGCGCGTTCAATGTGCAGAACAGGGTACGTTTCCGGGGAGGGTATGATGAGGTCAACCGTCAGGCAAGGTAAGGGTCGTCATTTTATGAGAAAAGTACCGTACCTGGCTTGCCATTCGCAATCACGAATCTCACTGGAAGAGAGAGCGAGAGAAACAGAGAAAGAGCGATATGGCTGGCAAGCTGGGTAGCATCTCGAGGCATGGAACAAACTGGACGTCCACCTCTGGCGGCACTGCCAACTCATCATTGCATGGCCTGCATCGCTAACGCTCTGGCCCTGCGCTTCTTTGCCTAGTTCTGCCTTCGCGCGCGCACCAGTTGCAGCGCTGCATCTGCCTGCTGTCGCTAATCCTGCAGCACCACCACCACCGTCCACGACTCCTCTTCCTCAGTAAGGTACTTCTTTCCTTGGTACGACCACTCCTCGGTAGAAGTACCTCTCCATATCGCTTTCTTGCCAGGGGTACATCTCGACTCTCCACTCCTCCCCACGCTCTGCTTCTCCTCCTCACTCACCAACAACACTGAACCACAACCACAACCACCACCACCATCGCGCCCACAGGCCCTCTCCATGGCCACGGTTTTCCCCCCCTCCACACCTCCTCACCTCACCTTGACCTCTCGGCTTGTCCCTCTTCCTCGTCCATTCAGAACGTCGTCTCCATTCGCCAACGCGATCCTCATTTCTGATCTCCCACACCTTTCGGTCCTGTCGCCGCCACGACCCCCTTTGGGCCATCCAACGGTCTGCCTTCGCGTGGCTTTTGGCTTCTTCTCTCGGCCCATCTGCGCCCTTCCCTCCGCACCCACTCCGCCCATCGTCGGATGCACATCTACCTGCTACTCTGGCCTCACCTACCTACACCGCAGAGTCCATGAAGGCCTCTCTGGCTTGCCCTGCACCGCCCTGCCCTGGCAATCTGCGGCATCCTCAGTAAACAACAGACTGACGGGGGGAATCAATGGAGAGATGCAGATGCGTCTTGCAGATGGACAACTGCCTATTGCAACGATAACGCCGCGCCCCCCTCGCCCTTCCAGGTTCTTCTGGCCATACCATGCTGCTCATCCCACCTTAAGGGCCAAGTCCAGCCAGAAAGAAGCTCGCTGTCTGTTTCCCCATGTCAATGGATCTCGCCCCCGTCGAACCCACTCCCAGTAGCCTTCTCTCGGCGCTGGCAACTGTTCATGCACGTCGTCCACCTTCCTCGTCTCTCACAGCGACAAGAGATGAGAGATGACCTCTTCACCGACCTTGCAATCTCGCCCGCGCGTCCGCTCTGCCGCCCGCCGGGGATGGGGCTACGCTCTCAGCGTTGGTTGGTCACCGCACGCCTGCCCTGAGTCCCTCATGTGCCGTTGAATTCAGTTCCCAAAAGGAACGACGCCAGTCCCGATACTCCAATCCGCCAGCGCCAGCACCGGCGTTAAACGGCACCGGCAGCACCAAAATCATAAGAAACCATCTACAATCAGCGTCTCGCCGCCGACCGCTCCGCTCGTTCGCGTACATATCACTCGGAGTCGAAATGGCCTATTTTAGTCGGCACCCATGCTGACGCCCCGAGCCAACGAACGGCCGGCCGGGCAACAAGCGCTGATTCGCTGCTCCGGCCTTGTTCCATCACCGCAAGGAACAGCTGGACGGTGTACGGAGTACCGGTGTACATCACTCTACGGGGAATTTTCTCCATTTCCTCAACCGCTGATTCGTCCAGCGCACGCAGGGCAATTGTCATTTTTGCCATCTCTGACTGGGCACAGCAGCTACACTACGACACGAGACTGGCCAACAGGCCGTTTTGACTTTGATGATGCCGTGCGAATCGCCCGCCATCGCTGCACATCATTGGGAGCCACCGGCTGATCCCAAACGTGGCCCCGGCGCCTGGCCTTGTTCTTGCCCTGTCCCAGCTAGCATCATCGCATAGCATGGCCGGACCTTTGCCTGACATGGCACAGACACAGACGGACGAACCTGGGTTGTTCTGTGGCTGCCGCTTCTTCGGCTTCTTTTTCCTTCGTCCCTCTGTCATGGTCTCACAATGTCACCTTCCAACTTGCCGGCGTTGTCGTTCCAATCCCCGACCTCGCGTCTCGCAGCGCAAGCGAGCAAGCGACAAGCGGGCCAGGGAACGCACAAGTGACAAGCCAAAGCCACAAGGGGAGCAAGCACTCGATCTCGGCGTTGTTGGCGGGGGTCTGTTTTTTTTTTTTTTTGTCCCTCTCGACTCCGAGTCCGGTTCCATTTGCCCCCGCAGTAACGGTTGTAGACCGCAGTCAGTCTATGCACGCAAGCCCAGCAGCCAATGTACATGGCCTCATCCGTACATACATGACGATACTGGCACTCTCTAGAATGCGAGACGATGCTCGGCCCGTGACAAGGAGACGAGCAATTGGCGGTGGGAGGCATGAGCAGCACCAACGACAACGACAGAGCAACAACACCAACGGCAAAAAGACGCACTTCTGACATGCTGCTAACGAATTGCCCACACACATGCTACGACTGCTAACCGGCCCTTTGCGCGCTGATTGATTGCAAATGCATTAGTCGCCGCTAACACCACATAGTGATAACTCGCACGTTCGATTTCACATCGAGAGGTCGTCCTTTGTTTCTCTCTCGGTCGTATCAGACAGGCATAGGGCCTCGCAACTCTAACTGGGCACATCCCTCCACGGAGGCACCTGAGAATCAAATAAGCATGCTCTGGCGTTTTGACTCGCCGTCAGCCCGAAACGATTCCATCAGTGACCAAGGAAACCTGGCCGAGGGACCAGCGTATGCCTTGTCCAGAGTTACTTGGCGCGTATACGGACATATGGCTGAGGGTTTGTCTCCGAGAGCTGCGCGCCGCGGTTACGATTGCATTCATCCATCGAGGCCAGACCGGCGCGCCAGATTGGGTCCTGACTCTCTGAATGGTTCCATTTCGCCACCGGCTTTGCATATTCGCAGCCCTCGTCATTCCCTTAGTTTTTTTTCCCCCTTCCTCTGCAGGCTCGTTCGTCTCGAATTTGCCCTCTTGGACTGCTGTAGCCCTAGAGGAGCTAAAGCAGCCCAACCTGCGACCCAGCGGGCCACATGGTCGGAGGGACTTCGTCCAAAGTTTCGGCCATGTATGTTTGCATGTATCCGTACATGCTTCGAGAGGCGCGCGCCTTTGCTTGTGACGATGATGTCGTGGGCGACAGACTGGATCCAAGACAGAACGAAGTCTAAGTCGGCGGCATCACCGGCGGTAGGGTAACCCATATTGGCTTTACTCGACAAGACCATCAAACGCCACGAGCATTCAGAAGCCAGCAAACTTGCAATTGGATTGTGGTTTCCGAGGCCTCTATCCGCTCACGGCCAACTCCCGTGCTGGACGATGTTATCGAGATACCTTTGGAACGTCTACCAGAAAGCGACTGCCACAATACATGGATAGCAGAGCTCTCAGCCAGAGGCAGATCTTCGCCTGGGCTGCCCTGGAGGCCCTGGCCCTGGCCCTGCTCCTGGCCATGACCCAGCGATGATGCTGGTACCCCCCTCCCTCCTCCCGGTCCCCTCCTCCCCAATGTGTCGCGGTGGGGTGGCCTAGTCTCCAGCGGTTTTTATCAACTGGCAACGAGACGAGCCAACGCAGCAAAGCATGGGTCACACTCTTTCGAGAGCCGCATCGCCGCTTGCATCTCGAACCAAAAATTCAAAGAACCACCCCATTGTTCCATTTCTCGTCGAGCCCGTTTTTTCGAGAACTTTCATACCTTGCCCAGTCGGCGCTTGTCTTTCCAGTTTCCCCAGTAGACGGAGCAAGCAGAAGCAAAGCAAAGCACAGCAACAGCAAGTGCATCAACCAGCAGGTCGTTCGTTTCCACGTCCCTGGTCTACTCTCCTCTTGTTTCCCTCCAAGTCTTGTCCCCTCTTCTACTAGTCTCCTCTCTCTCTCCGTTCCGGTCCAAAGTACTGTCCCCCCTCTTCTCGCCTGTCCGGTCCCTCATTTCCTGCCGCAGCCGCTGCCGTTGCCGCCGCAGCTTGTTATTACCACACGCGCTGCAACTGCACACTACCTCCATACGATCGTTGTCAAGTCCCCATGTATGATCTAATGTACCTTTACATATGTTGTTGATGTTGGCCCTGGATTGGATTTGACCTATTGCTGGACCACCCCTCCCACCCCTCCCTGCCCCCGCACTAGCTCATCGTCGAAGCCAGAGAGAAGGTGTAAAAAAAAAAGGGCAACCCTTTTTTTTCTGCAATAAAGCACACATGTCTCTCCGTCCACGGTTCTGATGTTTTCCTGCAACCCAAGAGACGGAAGAAGCCCTGGATACGTAGCTTAACTCACAACACCTCCCACACCCACCTGCGCCCACACACACACACACACACACACACACACAACGCACGCACACTTCCACCAGTACAACACATCAACCACCCCTTCCGCCGACTTTCTTCATCTTGTCCCCCCATACCTCATCAGGCTCAAATTCTCCCAGCTTGGAAAACCACGAAAACAGCTCAAGACTTGGTCCGGATCCCACCTCTTTTTCATTCTCTTTGAGCTACCATACATACTCGAACCCACCCCGGATTCCTGCCCTACGCCTTACATTACAACACACCAGAGCGCTCTGGCGTGTGGTGCGTAGAAGTCCGCGTGCGAGACCCCCCGGCCGTCCTCGACCATAGACTTTTCGCTCGCCTCACCGTTGGGCTCGATTGCATCCCAAGGCCGCCTGGATCTTGGTTCCATTGTCTGGACAGCAGTTGCCTATTCTTCAGTTGCTTCACTTTCTTTTCCTTCTTCGGTCTGAGACAACATCGATCTCCCCCTGCGCCCGAATCCGCATCTCGGGGACCCTGCACGTCTAGGACCAAGAAAAAAAAGATTCGACCCGCCGCATACATTCCACCCATTGGGGAAAAACGGTCAACATGGGCGGCTTTTACATGCAGTACCTTGAGAGTAAGTGGTCAATTGACTTTTCCAGACACGTCGTTGAAACCCAATGCTTCCCTGAACCTCGTTCCCATCATCAATTGTCCGTACAAGTGGGGCTGAGCCGTGATGAGCCCCGGTGAACTGGGTCAGATCGTGTGTGCCTACCCCTGCATCTTGGGAATGACATGCGTTTGTTCCCCGGGCCCTGACGTTGCCTGGCGAGTCGGGACGTGGCCTCGCGCCCGCGGGATCGACGTCAGCTTCATGTTGCGGCTCCCAGTGTACGAGTTGCAGTGCTCAAAGACGGGGAAACCACAGAGATGAATCGGATTGGGCTGGAATGCAGCTCGCCTCACTTCACCGAGGGCGCTGATCTCTCAGCTGCGCCATGATCGAATTCAGAGAGCATAAAGAGCTAATCGATCCAATCTAGGTCTTTGCCGGCGCCGAGGATGGAGGGATCCTTCGTACGAGTGCTACCGCGATCCCAGTGGCTACACGTGCCTGGTTCTCGTCAACGGCCGTGAGTACCAGACGGACCTAGCGTACGAATCGGATTCGTTGGCGCAGGAAAACGCGGCCATGCGTGCCTTTATGGTGTGCCGTAACTTCTCCGTCAACGGCGGCATGCTTGCCCGCAACGGCATCGTTCAGGGGCTGCCCGCCACCGAGACCAGCGGCACCGCCCGCCGGTCCAAGAAGAGCAGTCGCCACACGTCTTCAAGTCACGGCTCCAGGGACAGCCACCGTCGATCGGGCCACCACTCCAGCAGTTCTTCCACGGCTTCTTTCGACTGAGTGGACATCTTTGCTGCATGATGAGTTGGCAGCTGTAGGCTCTCGGCCCCGGCAGCAAGCCATGGCGGAGATAAAAGGGACTGGACGCACTCTGGTCGCAGCATGGAGGACGACAACCATCCTCGGGAGCTCGAGTGAGGAGGAGAACAGGAAAAAAAGAAGCGAAGATATTGGTACCAAGAAGTGGGCCAAAGGAGTGGGAAAAGCGACGCATAACTTTCATCTGCGACGACCTCATGACGACTTTATGACCTAGATTACGGTTTCCTGCGCGGCACCTCTGATTTCGATTTCATTCTCTATGCAACCCGGCCGGTACTCTTTTGATTTTCCAGACAAGGCCATTGGGCTTGATGACTTTCTTCTTCCCCTCCAGAATCAGCATTCTACTATTCAAGACTTTTTCTTCTTCCCCTTTTTGATGACCAGGCGCTTTGGCTGGGGATTGTACAGTACCAGCCGCTTTTGCCGTCCCCCTGCTTCTTCTAACCGGAATCATGCCCAGAGGCGACTCTGGCGGCCGACTTTCATTTTTCTCTTTCTCATTATTGGACATTGAAGGTTTATGATCTTGCTTTTTATCATAGGGTCAGGAATGAAGGAGGCTTTCTTGTTTTCTGATGACACCAGCCCTCCACACAACAAAAGATTGCTACGAAAAAAGACCGCGGTGGGGGATGCTAGACTCTTTGGTTGAGCGAGAAAGAGCGAGAGACAGAGAGAGGGATGAGACTGAAAATTGGGAAATAGTAGGAAAAGGAGGAGCGGGAGAGAGAGCGAACGAGAGAGAGAAGAGCTTTTGATGGTGCGCACGCACGACAAAGCCACTCCCTCTCTCCCCCGTTTGATGTGCCTCAAAAGCAAAGCATTTTCTATTCTGCATTTCTTGGACCAGCGTGGGAACATTGGTTTGGATTGGCATCTTGATTTTGCGGCATGAGAGACAGAGAGAGACGGGGCGGAGGATGTATTGGGACGGGGCGGGATTTGCCGCCAACCTACGGGGAGATGAGGGTGTTTGGGCCCCAAGAGTTTGTGAAAGGGAGGCCGATTGGGGTATTTTGAACAAGATGGAGGGAGGAAGGCAGGAGATGTGGACTTGATGAAGGGAACCACAACCCTCCCACGCGTTGCTCTGTGGACACGCGGGTATGATGAATAATGACACAACCAAGACTTTACGACAAGCTTATGATGATATTTACAAGACCGAACAAAAATCAATAAATAAACAGCATTTCAGCGGCTTTTATTGTACAATTCTCGATACTCTCTATTTGCACGTGAACGGCGAGCGTTACATGATGTCGACATGGTCCAGTTTGTTGCCCCTTTTCTCACATCCAGCTCCTAGGTACTCTGAAACTGTCAGGTCCAGGTGCGGGATGGCGGTTGGAGGGATGGTGGACATGGTGGTGGTGTGACTCGGAAGACGCCGGACAACCGCGCGGGTTTCGGAGGATGGTGGTGGGTTGGGGGTGGTGGCCCGGAGCCGATGTGGAGGACGGGAGGGACGCGGACGCGGGACGGGGGCCAGCGCGAGACGAAGCCGCGCTTCACATACATACGTACCCACGGGATCGCACGGGGCAGATGATCAGATTGATTAGCTATCTAGGCTGGGCAGCCGTAGCCTGGGCTGGGTTAGGGTGAGTGGGCTTGAGTTTTCTAGAAATTAGATTTCAGATTCCCGCTTGGTACCCGTGGATGGGGAGGCCATCGAAGCAAGGGGGTCAGGCACCTGGACAGCAGCGGGCGCGGATGAGAGACGGGTTTTGGAAGCTAAGAAGCGAGGAGGACGGATGAGATGGAAAAAGTAAAGAGGGTGCTTCCTGGCATCCCACGCGGGTCGTTGTGTTCTAGACACTTTTTAATTGAGTTGTCTTGTTAGAATGTCTCGCTAGCGTGATTTCACATAAGAGGCAACGTGTTTTGTTTGGGGATGCGGCTGGAGGGAACAGGGTAGTAGGTTATTAGGGGGAAGCGATTTTGCTTGTGGTTCGATTTGGCGCATGGTGGTTGGGATGACGGGATGTAGGTCTACCGAGGTGTTTGTCTGGTGTTTTCTTTGCACATGCCATTGAGTTTTATCTGCAGGTGGCATGGCATATTCGGATGGTTTTTCTTCTTGAGAGGATCGGAAGCCGGGACGCGCGTGGCAGATGGGAAGGGGTTTTGCCGGACGGGAGTCCGTGTGGCGGCCGGGCGTGCTGGGATTGCGAGTGTTGTTACAACTTGACGGGGATGTGATTACCCTCCAACTTGACCAGGTTTTTCGCAGTGAATTATTTCTCTACTGGCCTCGGAGGGAAAATAGCGACAGAGGGTCATCCGGACGGTCCCGGGATGTGGACGGCGGCGGTGGTTTCAATGTGGCGCACGCGGCCGCGGTGTGTTGGATACCTGCGGATAGAGAGGACTGAACACGTACGTCACGTCGCAAGTTGAGCGAGGTGGTTCCCACTTCGTCCCGGGCTTTCTCCCGCGCTCTTAATTGAAGTGTAGGGATCGAGGCTTTTGTGGTAAAGACGGGAGTTGGCGAGACTGACGTTAAGCAGGTGTGGCTTTGCGGGTTGGACCCGGTGTTTTGGTGGTCACGAGGGTGTGATTTTTTATGGCGATGCCGCGATGGAGGGGTCCCCACTGAGGCGTTTTTGAGGCGATGGGAAACTTGGACATGCGTTGCTTCGGTATGTTGATGACTTGTTCTTCCTGCATTGACGATGGCAATTGGCAAAGTTGTGTTTTTAGGCGTCACCAATCGGAGGGGAAGGCAGAGGCAAGGGAGGAAAGGAAAGGGAGAGAGGTGACATTGGAAGAATCCCCATGTTACGAGGAATGAGGAAAATCTCCGGGGGGTAGTATTTTTTGCGGCGGCATAACACGAGGTTTTTTTTGGTGCTTGGTTGCCTGACTGCACTGCGAAACGTGACTGCAACTGCTTGTCAGCACCGCTTCGTCAGTTCGTAACTGCCCCCATTCACGAGGTCGTCAGCAGAGGCATCCCGAAGAAGGCGGCGGTCGCGAGTTGAGTAGGGGGGACGGGTCAGATGTCGGTCCCATGTAGGGAGGGACCCGGTTTCGAGGTTGGGTCCTCGGCCGGGAGAGAGCGTGTGATGGCGGATATACGCGCGGTCACCGGAGCGCGGCGGCGGTCTTTCTGGCCAGCAGAGTTGTTCAGTTGTGTTTTGAACAACAGTCGATCAGCTGACTGCCCCGGTTTCCGTCTGATTCGCCCATCCATCCACAGAGAGAGAGTCCAGACGCAGAGCCGGCTGTTCAGTGCCATGGCTGGCTTTGAGGCACAAGCAAGGGGGAAGGGGAATTGGCATTAACAATTTCGCCAGGGAAATTGGGGGAGCCGTGGTCTGTCGATTTCGCGGGTCGGGGCTCCCCGCTTTTGTGTCAATTGCGCATTTCAGCAGATGGTTCGGAGGGCCGAGGCGAGGACGCGTCCCCGGTGCGGTGGTACAAGGCCAGGCACGATTGACGAACTGACGACGACGACGGGACGATGACAATCGCCGCCGCACAAGCCCCAGTCTACCACGAAGTAGTAACTGTGCAGCCAGCGTCTTTGAGAGAATGGAATTGGAAGAGAGCGAGAGGGCCCCTGACAGCTGGGCGTAGCGTGCCTTTACCTAGCCTCTTTTCCCACAAGGGGGGCCGCCGTTTGGGGGAGACACGGGATTGGATCGTGAGATCACATGGGGGGGCCACCGAGGGGGAGGGGAGGACGGTGATTGGATGAGGATGGGCATTGGCCGTTGGGTACGTACCGTTTGCTTGTGGCGCAGTACATGGGATATGCGAGTGAGCGGTTGAGTGTGTGTACCTTTGGAAAACAGCAATGAATGTGTTCAGCGCACCTCGTATGGGGGAGCAGAGGTTCTTGTTCGGGCGCAAACATCTGGACTGTCATCACCTTCGACTCGGTGTCTCGTAAACGTGCAGCCTCCCGTCGTCTTGATTGGGACTTGTACCTGACGCTGCCCCGAGAGTCAAGGGACGGGAATGTGTCAGACATTTGGAGGCTCCCATAGTGCTCCTTGCTGCGCAGTAGTGTCCACAAGCCCGGCCGTTAGCGCGCCTGTTCCAGGGGGGGGGAGACATGGGCCGGTTGGCGGGATTGGGGGTCCAGGTTCGAGGCGGTGCCCTGTGCTCTGTGCTGTGTGCTGTGTGTGCTCTTGCCTTGCTGCGCATCACCAGAGGCAGGCCAGCCAGCAGCGAGAGGATTCAGGAGACGGTACTCTCTCTACTGTGTTGGTAAGGTATGTCGTGTCTTTTTTGAGAGGTACCTTTACTCTGGAGCGTACCAGACAAGTACCGCACCTGCACCTCCCTTTGCCATCCATCCATCCCAACCCGTCCCATCCCCATCCAACCCCATCCCCATCTCATCCCATCCAGGTCCCTACTACTCAAAGCCCAGCTCTCGCAACCTCATCTTCCCGGCTTCCTCCTCCCTCGTTGACCTTACTTTATTCACTGCGCTCGCTCTTGCAACTTTTCAACCTGCTGCTGCCGCTCCACCACCCCTCTCCTAGGCTTCCGTGATCTTCACCCCCAAAAGCCTCAGCATATCCTCCGGAGGAAGGCTCGCTCTTTGTACCAGCTCTATTAATTTTTTCTCCTTCCCCCCTTTGCGTCCTCGACCGTCGTTGAAGCTCGGCCCTTCGTTGTCAACCATCGTCATCGCATCGCCAATCGCCTCGTCGCACCTTCCACCAGACTCGAGAACTTCTACGCCCTTTCCCCATTCGTACACTCGCTTGTTTCGCGCGCACCTCAAGGGAAAGCAATCGCCTCTCCCTTTCTGCTCTTCACCAAACCAGAGTCGACTCACACATAACCACAACCCCCAAACTCCTCCAAGATGAAGGGTGAGTCTTGCCTGCCTCCCGCCCCCTTGTGCAGTCAATGCCCCAGCTGGCCTCTGCACCGGGCCATGATGCAGCATGCTGACGCGCGCAATAGCTATTATTCTCGTCGGTGGCTTC